AAGGGATGGGGGGAAACATGGGAAATGCCAGGTGCAAGGTCCTGCTTCCTGCTTCATGGGTGAGAAATGCCATATGGTCTATAATTTCCCTGTGGTCTTGAGCTATGCACAAATGGTAGTCTTGTGTGGGGGCTTCTCTAGTGTCTCCTGCCGGCCTACAGGAGGAAAGGCAAGGCTTACAAAGGGGTGAGAAGACATCCCAATAAACATTTTGGATGATAAAATATGTATGTGTGAGCCCGTGTGCACACAGGCTGTGACATGTTCATGGAGGTCGGAGAACAACTTTCAGGAGCTGCTTCTCTATTTCCGCCATGGGTCCTGGGCATCATTCAGGTTAGCCTGGTATAGCAAGGGCTTTTTACTGGCTGAGGCATCTCTCCAGTCCTGGGGGCTGACTTATGATGTGCCATATTAAAACTGTCTTTCAGGGCTAGGGACGTAGCTTGATTGGTAGAGTGCTTGCCTAGCATGCATACCATCTTGTGTTTATTGTCCAGTAAAAACATGCGCGCACGCGCGCACGCGCGCACGCGCGCACGCGCGCACACACACACACACACACACACACACACACACACACACACACATACAAAGAAATCTTGTCTGGGAGGGGTTTCCAGATCCTCTTCAACTTTGTGTCCTTGAAGGAACAGTGCTTTGCGAGCCTGAGCAAGGCAGAAGGCATCCAGAGGACACTGCACACTGAACAGCACCAGGGGATTAATCAGTGCTGAAGTGAAATCCGCCGTTAGTGTTCTACGCCCATTACTCTGCATTCCAGCCCCCTTCTCTCTGTAAGAGACACAATCGCTCATATTTGTGGGGTAAGGTACGATAGTTCAGCAGAGACTTTCAACACAATTTAACATGAGTTCCATGAAGAACTTCAGTCCTCTGTTAAATGAAGACACTGAGGGTTTATGGCTGCAGAGCGAGAACCTAGGAAGAGCAACGTTAAATAAGTTGGACAGAACAGACTTAAGTGTCTTCAGAAAATACACTGGTAAGAACTCCCTAGGAGAGCCGGTGCCTGCCCTTCCTAGGTGAAGAAGAGGTAGCTGTGGCATGCTCGAGGCCCTTCACTCTCCTTCCTTTTCCTTTTCTTTTCTTTCTTTCTTTTTTTTTTTTTTTTTTTTTTTTTTTTTCCGAGACAGGGTTTCTCTGTGTAGCTTTGCGCCTTTCCTGGATCTCACTCTGTAGCCCAGGCTGGCCTCAAACTCACAAAGATCCGCCTGGCTCTGCCTCCCAAGTGCTGGGATTAAAGGCGTGCGCCACCACCGCCCGGCATCCTTTTCCTTTTAGAGATAGGGTTTGAAGTCGCCCAGCCTTGCCTCAACCTCACTGTATAGCTAAGGATAGCCTTGAATTAACTCCTCATCCTTCAGGTTAGCCTTGAACTCCTCACCCTTCTGCTTCCGTCTCTCAAGTGCTGGGTTACAGGCTGCGCCACCACATCTTGTTTTACTTGGTGCTGGAGAGTGACCCCAGGGCTTTGGTAGCGCTGGGCAAGCGCTCTCCAACCAATCCACACTCCCTGCCCTGAAACCTGGTTTCTTTGTCTCAGCCATCGCCTCCTTCTCTTCTTCCTTAGCTCTTCTGGCTCACCAGTATGTGAACTGCACAAGCTGGAGCCAACTTTTATTCTTTTTGAGACAGTCTCTTTATGTATCACTGACTGCCCTGGAACTCACCTTGTCGAGTAAGCTGGCCTCTGACTCACAGGCATCCTCCTACCTCTGCCTCCCAAATTCTGAGATTAAAGGCATGCACCACCACATCCGGCTCGAACCCATCCTTTTGTGTCACGGTAGAGTACTTCAATTGGCTTTCCTTAGTCAAACGTGGTGAAAATCTCAGTCTGGTGAAGGATGAGCATACACAGTCCACAGTCTCTGCATCAGTGGGAACACTAAGAGTCAAATGCCGTGGGGGCCAAAAGAAGGGAGGCTCACTTCATTGAAGGACTATTCTTTTATTGGTTAGCCTCAGCAGGGTTTATACATTGTATAGAAGTGTCCCACCCCTTATGCTGGGGGCACGCCTTTAATCCCAGCACTCGGGAGGCAGAGCCAGGCGGATCTCTGTGAGTTCGAGGCCAGCCTGGGCTACCAAGTGAGTTCCAGAAGAGGCGCAAAGCTACACAGAGAAACCCTGTCTCGAAAAACCAAAAAAAAAAAAAAAAAAAAAAAAAGAAGTGTCCCACCCTCAAACTCATGACTACCTGGAATCTTAGAATGTGACCTTATTCAGAAATCAGGTCTTGGCAGGTAGAGTCAAGCTGAGGTCATCCAAGGATGGGCCATAAGTCCAAGGACTGCCATTTTTATGAGAAAGGGGAGGGGAAATTGCACACAGGCACCCTGGGAAGGTCGTGTAGGAATGGCCACAGAGACTGGTGATGCAACCCCAAGAAAAGAAAGCCAAGGAGCACTAGGAGCCACCAGGAGAGGCTGGGGAGGACGCTTCCTTCCTGGGACCCCACGGTCTCTCTGACCATGTGGGAGCAGCCTTCCAGCCCCTAGAGCCGTGGAGGAAGGAAGGCGTAAGCCGCCCAGCACACGGTCGTTGGTGCGGCAGACAGCTGCGGGGAATGAACGCGGGCCCGAGGGGAAGAGGTCACGAGAGTCACTCATGAGCAGGAACTGCGAAGTCTCCTCTGAACCACTGCCCTTTAGCCTTGTGCACCTCGCTCAAGAGCCAAACTGCCAGGAGAGAGTCTCTGGCCCCCGCTCACCCCAGCCCTTTCCCAACGGCCTGACTGGAACATGTAGGGTGGCGCACGGGTGACTTCACTTGTCTCCTCTTTGGGGGAAAAGGACTCACTTTGGGGTGGCCGTCTGTGTTGGGTGACCACATAGGACAGGACAGCTCCTTTGGACAAAGTCACCCCTGCCGATTCCCTTTTACCCAGTGGCAACAGGTGTGGGTGGCTACAGGTGTTGAGAGAGGCTAGCCAGGCAGCTATGTGCGGAATGTTTTGGAGCAAGGCCAGCTAGCTAGACGCTGACATCAGAAATGAAGTGACAGACCAGGAGAGCCGCGCCGTGGTGGCCGCAAGGGAAGGGAGCTACCGTTTTGTCTTCAGAGACTGTGGCACTGACTTCCCAGGGTGTATGAGGAGAACTTCATTTTCTGTCTCCAGCTATTTCTGCCAAGTAGCTTTGACTTCTTGGCATCTTAAGAACTGGACACCGTATCTTTTGTGCTATTTACCCAATTATGTAAGATGGATCAAGTATTCATTTTTGCTCTTCTGGAATGGAGCTGGGAGCTGGCTGTTTTCTCTTGTCAGAGGAAACCCTCTCAGATAACCTAAACTCAGGAAGACAAGAGTGCAAATGTCCCCATGTTCCCAGGTCTGGGGAAGCGAAGAAGGAGGACCCATAGAGCTCAAGATGAGTTACAGTTCCAGGCTGCAGAGACATCTCAAGAGAAAGAGTTCTTGCCTAGAATGCAGGAAACCTTGGGTTTGACCCTTGGCACCACGCAAGACTGGAGTGCACTGGTTCATGTCTGTAATCCCAGCACTCGGGAGGATCAGAAGCTCTAGGTATTTCCAGCTACAGAACAAGTTCAAGGCGAGCCTGGGTTTCCTGAGAGCCTGCTGAGACAGAGAGAGGAATCACAGTTCCTCTCAGCTGAATGAGGCTTGCAACCTCAGTACCCAGAAGGCTGATGGAGGAGTGCCACAAGTTCTAAGCCAGCCTGAACTACACAGTAAAACTTGTTTAAAAGAGTCAACCCCCTCTCCCGAATTAATTCCAGTTAATTAGCATAGGCATCAAGTTGCTGCCGAGGGTAGGAAAGAGGGTAACATCACCTAAACAGAGAAAAGGGAAATCGCAAATCTTAAAACAGGGGCAAGCAGCGTGTGGTGGCGCACGATCTTTTTTTTTTTTTTTTTTTTTCCGAGATAGGGTTTCTCTGTGTAGCTTTGTGCCTGTCCTGGATCTCGCTCTGTAGACCAGGCTGGCCTCGAACTCACAAAGATCCGCCTGCCTCTGCCTCCCGAGTGCTGAGATTAAAGGCTGGCGCACGATCTTAATCCAAGCACTTGGGAAGTAGAGGCAGGTGGATCTCTGTGACTTCCAGCAGCCTGGTCTACGTAGTGAGTTCCAGGACAGTCAGGGCTACATAGTGAGACCCTGACTCAAAAAAAATCAAAACAGAACAGGGGCAGAAATTAGGTACTTTAAAAAAAGTCTTTACTAATTGTCTGTGGTGTTGTGTGCCACAGCACATGTGTGGAGATCAGAGGAAAACGTGGGTTGGTTCTCTCCTTCATGAGGGACCCAGGGAAAGTTCCTCAGGCTCGGCAGCCTTTATTCACTGAGCCGTCTTGCTGGTCCAGTACTTTTTTCTTTTTTTAGATTTTCTCCAACATTGTGTCATTTGGTCATTCTGAGGGTAACTCTGATCTTGACAAAACTAGATGGGTATTTGGGATGAGTTATTTCTGATGGTACAAAGAGTAAAAGGTAGGGGCTGGAGAGGTTGTTCAGTGGCTAAAAGCACTTGTTGCTTTTAGAGGACCCAGGTTGGGTTCCCAGCACCCACACAGTGGCTCACAACATTTGTAGTTCCAGTTCCAGGGGATCCAGTGCTTTCTCCTGAATCCCAAAGGTGGTAGGCATGCATGCAGTACACAGAAATACACAAAGACAAAGCACTCATACATATAAAGTAAAAATAAATGAAAAAGAGAACCTCTTAATAAACTCCTACTCTGGTTCATCCTGTTCCTCCTGAATTGTTTTCTGAAGCAAAATCAAGAACCTTAGCTTCCCCTGAGCTGAGGTCTTCGGAAAGAAAGCTTGGGCTGCTGTGTGTGGCTGTATCTCAGCTCAGGCCCCAGGCTGCTGAGAAACCCAGAGAACAAGTTTCAAGTATATGACTTCAAATGTGATTTTTTTTTTTCTTTTTTGAGACACAGTCTCATGAAATAGCCCTGACTGACCTGGAACTCACTATGTAGACCAGGCTGGCCTTGAATCAAATGTGATTTAAAACAGGACTTTATTAAGATTTATACTCTCCAGATTCTAGTACATCAATTTACAGGAGTAATTTGTATGCAAGACCCCACTCATTTTGGTGTTTAGAAGGACTACCAAAGAAAATACATTTCCAGTAACTACCCTTATCCCCAAGAAACCAAATTAAAAAATAAAAAACCAAAAAACTCAACTATATGGATAACCATTTAAAAATAATACAAATGATAAAGCAAATTTTTGTTATTGTTCAGCTAAGGAATTTGTTTTCAAGAGAGCTTAGATTTGTTTTATTAATTTCAAATTTCTACCTCAGCCACCTCCGGAAAGCTCGCTGGCCCTTCTGCCCTCGTGCCTTAGCTTGTCCTGCCTCTGCCTTCTGCTCCAGAGTCTGTCTTCTGTTCCTCTGCTCGCTTTCTCCATGGGAATCCTGTGGCCGGGGAACCTCTAAAGTCAGCAGATGGACCTGTGGACAGCTGTGCTCTGGTCCCTGCAAGCCAATGCATCTGTGTCCCTAAGTGACATGAGCTGACTCCGGGACCCCTGGGCTTCCCATCATGCACCACTCACCAGTTACCTTCTGCTCTCAGCTCAACCTCACCTTCTCCGCCCACTTCTAGACCATCCACTAGGACATATGAACCCTGACTGCTGGCTTTCTCCTCGACTTTCTGGTCAATTTATATGCTGGTTTCTCCTCCTTTGAAAGCTCTTAAAACCCAGACTGGACTTCCATGGACCCTGCATATTCTATCATTTATTGTTTTTAGTTTTTGTTGTGCTGGGGATCAAACTCAGGACTGATGTAGGACATACTAGGCAAACCCTCCATCACCAACCTACATTTTAACTCCTAAATATCTGAAACCCCAGCTCAGCTCGAGGTTGATTACAATTTATGATTCACTCACCCTGTTACCTATTTCAGTGCATGGGAAACCGAGTCATCCAGTATTTCTGAAGCTCTGATGTCATAGCAGATGTTTTTCATAGAAAGTAAAACAAAACACAAAGAACAAAACAAACAATCTCCTCCACAAAAAGCCCACAGAAATAAATAAAAGCAAAACATTTTGTGATACTGCATTCAAAAGTCTGTATATTGTTTTTCCCCTTCAAATTTCAAAGGGAATGCTCATGTGCTGAATAGTCATCTAACACAAAACACCACTTCTCTTCTGTTAAATGCACGTACACAGACCCACAACAGCCCATCCCTGGTGAAAAGAAATCCAAACCTCACAGAAACTATGCCCTGCTGGGGCTCAGTGTCTCCTGCATCCAAAGCATCCCTGGATAAAGGAATGCCATGTTTATCTGTTGGGAGAGTTTTTCAGGCAAAGATGGCGTCTGCACACGGGGTCTCCTCTTTGGTCCTTCCGCAGCAACATTTACTCAGTTTTTTTTTTAGAGGCAAATCATTAAACATGCTTCGAGAGCGCGGCTGTGCTTGTCTGGTGGCCTCGAGGCTAAGGACACTAAGTGAATGATTTGTAAGAAATGATTTATCTTGCTAATGTAGTTAGATTTGAATAATGGTTCTAGACTTTGTGATATGACTCACCCCTCCCTCCCACCCAATAGTATAGGAATATCAATTTGGAGTCCAGTTACGATGAAGCCGTCTTTTCGCTTGAGTACGGAAATATCTGAGGGGGGAAAAAAGAGAATAGTTAGAAACAGAACTCCCCCAAGTTAAAAAGGATTCTTGGAGGCCAGAGGATCTGGAGTTCAAGGCCAATCTGGGCTACTACATGAGACCCTGTCTACAAAAAAAGTGGGGAGTGGTGGAGGTGAGCTGGTGGAGGTGAGCTGGGGAGGTGAGCTGGTGAAGGTGAGCTGGTGGAGGTGAGCTGGTGAGGTGAGCTAATGAGGTAAGCTGGTGAGGTGAGCTGGTGAGGTGAGCTGGTGGGGGTTAGCTGGTGGAGGTGAGCCAGTGAGGTGAGCTAGTGAGGTGAGCTGGTGAGGTGAGCTGGTGAGGTGAGCTGGTGAGGTGAGCTGGTGGAGGTGAGCTGGTGGAGGTGAACTGGTGAGGTGAGCTGGTGAGGTGAGCTGGTGAGGTGAGCTGGTGGGATGGCACAGCTGGTGGAGGTGAGCTGGTGGAGGTGAGCTGGTGAGGTGAGCTGGTGAGGTGAGCTGGTGGGATGGCACAGCTGGTGGAGGTGAGCTGGTGAGGTGAGCTGGTGAGGTGAGCTGGTGAGGTGAGCTGGTGGAGGTGAGCTGGTGAGGTCCCTCAGGTGGTGGAGGTCACCTAGCCTGACAATCTGCTTTTGATGTGAGAGAACAACTTTTGGGCATTGGTTCAATCTGATGAAGTCTGTTCTTTCCTATCAAGAATGTCCTGGGGACTGAACTCATGTAACAAGGGCCCTTGCTCACCAAACTGAGCCATCTTGCCAACTCTGTTTTTTGTTTGTTTGTTTTGTTTTGTTTTTGAGACAGGATTTCTCCGTGTAGTTTTGGTGCCTGTCCCGGATCTTGCTCTGTAGACCAGGCTGGCCTCGAACTCACAGAGATCTGCCTGGCTTTGCCCCCCGCCCAATGCTGGGATTAAAGGCGTGCACCACCACCACCCAGCTGCCAACTCTGTTTTTAGAGACAGGGTCTCGTGTAGCTCCGGCTGGCCTGGAACTCAATATGCTGCTGACGCTGGTCTTGAACTCCAGATCCTCTTGCTCCCATCTTCCACGTGCCGGGATTACAAGCCACACCCAGAGAGAGGTACAAAGTCAGCGTTTAACGTTTGCTTATAAAGCAAACACAGGAGCTACTTTGAGGAATTTAGAGAGTTGAGATTATAGGTGAGAGATACTAAGAATGAAATTCACACACAACTAAACTTTGTTTTAATTGCACAGCATGAAAAAAAAAAAATCCTGACACAAAAATAGGTGTAAATGGTAAAGTGGAGAGGGGTTGGTTCTATTTTTATTTTGTTCCTCTCTTCACCCCCCACCCCTTCTCTCTTTGTGCTGGAGAGTGACCCCCTGCCTAACGAAGCACTTCGCCACTGAGCTACATCTCCAACCCCAGGTCCTTTTTTCTGCGTCTGTCTTGCCATCTGTGGACGGTTCTAACTTTCAAGACATCACAGAAGTTGATGACACCGTTCTCTGGTGCTCTCTCTCTTTCTTTCAAGGTTTGATTTTGATTACGTGTTTGTGCATGGGTGTTTGTATATGCATGTATGTGCCCGTGGAGGCCAGAGGCTTCCTATCCCCTGGAGCTGGAGTTACAGGCTTTGAGGGTTGGGAAGTCAACTCTGGGAGAGTAACACACACTCTTAACCACTGAGATCTCTCTCCTCTCCTCCCTCTCTCCCTCTTTCCTCCCTTTTTCTTTTTGAGGCAGGGTCTCATGTGGCTCAGGCTGTCCTCGAACTTGCTATGCAGCCTAGCTCCTGATCCTACTGCCTCACATCCCAAGTGCTAGGATGGTAGCCATGTGTTATCAGGCCTGTCAGAGCTACCTTGCCAAGCTCTAAGCCCCGCCCCCTTCCCCCCCCCTCTCTCTGTCTTTCTGTCTCTGTCTCTGTCTCTCCCTCTCTCTCTCTCTCTCTCTGTGTGTATGTGTAATAAGCGAGCTGGGATGGTGGCGCACACTTTAATCCCAGCACTCTGGAGGCAGAGGCAGGCAGAACCCTATGAGTTCCAGGCCAGCCACGGATACACAATGAGACCCTGTCTCAAAAAGAAAGAGCAGTCAGTGTTCTTAACCACTGACCCATCTCTCTAGCACTCTGACCTCATTTTTTCCCCCCAACAGGATCTGTCACTGAACACAGAGTTTGCCATTAAGTTTATAGATGCCACCACTTTTACGTGGGTGCTAGGGATTTGAACTCGGATTTTTATGCTTGTATAGCAAGCATCTTACCCACGATCTCCTCAGCCCCCCCCCCCCAGAGTTTGGTTTTCTGACGATGACAACGTACTTCATGTCTGGGAACCTCAGTGCTACTCACTCTCCAAAGCCTTTGGGAGGCAGCACAAAATTGAAGGAGCTGGACCCACCCCCCAGATCCAAACAGGTGACTCCTCTAGACGACAGCAGTCAGTCTGAATGGCAGAAACCAGACGGTCTGGCTTTCGCTTTGCACTTAAGTTCCAAGTATCTTGCACAAATCAGAGACCAGAATATTTAAAATGTCTTGATCTACTACCTTCTCATTTTTTAATTTATTTAAAAAGGAAAAGAAAAACTGCTGTGTTGGCTATAATCTCCTGACAGGCATCCTCATTGTTCAAAGCCATGAAGGCTTAATGTGGCAACTTAAAATTTTGTCGGCTGAGAGACCGTGATTTGATTGAACACTTGCGTCAATCTCAGGTTCCATGGAACATAGTCTGAAAACCCCTTTTCTCTTTCTTGGAGTGATTATCATTTAATTTAATGATCTTACCTCTCAGGAAACGACAGCAGCTTAAGCTATAGGTATAGACCAAGGTTTAAATGTCTTCGGGTCATCTCTTGGGATCTAAGGAAAAAAAAATAATAAAAGAGCAAAATGTAACACGTGTACTGGAATGCATATACTACTACAATATTTGACCAGAGAAATCATACCAAATCTTTATTTATATTTATTTATTTATCTATCTATCTATCTATCTAATTATTTATTTATTTATTTATTTATTTATTTATTTATTCGAGACAGGTTCTCACTATATGCTTGTGGCTGGCCTGAAACTCTCTATAGAGATCAGGCTGGCCTGGAACCCACAGAGATCTGCCTGCCTCTGCCTCCTGAGTGCTGGGATTAATGGCGAGGACCACCATGCCTGGCTGTATTAAATCTTAAGCTTTCAAAAACTTCTCATAAGAGAAGGCAGGGAGCCGGGCGGTGTTGGCGCACACCTTTAATCCCAGCACTCGGGAGGCAGAGGCAGGCGGATCTCTGTGAGTTCGAGGCCAGCCTGGGCTACCGAGTGAGTTCCAGGAAAGGCGCAAAGCTACACAGAGAAACCTTGTCTCGAAAAACCAAAAAAAAAAAAAAAAAAAAAAAAAAAGACCAATTAGAATTCATGCTGGCCTCAAACTCAGAAATCTGCCTGCCTCTGCCTCCTGAGTGCCGGGATTAACTTTTAAAAGACAGACAGTGTAGCACTGTTAGGTGTGGGGCTCGTGCATATAATCTCAACACTCAGGAAATTGAAGGAGAAGGATGTCCAGGTTGAAGCCAGCAGAGCCCACATATTGCACTGTCAAAAGAAGAAGAAGAAGCTGATGGATTGATGTTGTAATCTCTCCTATAGTGTTAAGTAACAGGACATGTCCATGAGTCACCTATCTTTTTTACTCTCCAAGAACGAGTTCCTGAAGAATTGCAGACCCTTGGAATGTATGTGGGGAGGGGACATGAGAAGAGAATGTGACTGGGTGTGGATGCTCTTTCCCACTGTTGTGGAGACAGCCCTGTCTGCGGCATCAGGCACAGGATGATGTGTGCTGTCTGCAGCATCAGGAACAGGATGGTATGTGCTCTGTCTGCAGCATCAGGCACAGGATGGTGTGTGCTCTGTCTGCAGCATCAGCACAGGATGGTGTGTGCTCTGTCTGCAGCATCAGGCACAGGATGGTGTGTGCCCTGTCTGCAGCATCAGGCACAGGATGATGTGTGCCCTGTCTGCAGCATCAGGCACAGGATGATGTGTGCTCTGTCTGCAGCATCAGGCACAGGATGGTGTGTGCTCTGTCTGCAGCATCAGGCACAGGATGGTGTGTGCCCTGTCTGCAGCATCAGGCACAGGATGGTGTGTGCCCTGTCTGCAGCATCAGGCACAGGATGATGTGTGCCCTGTCTGCAGCATCAGGCACAGGATGGTGTGTGCTCTGTCTGCAGCATCAGGCACAGGATGGTGTGTGCTCTGTCTGCAGCATCAGGCACGCGTGGATGGTGTGTGCTCTTGCTAGTTAAATCCCAAGCTCTCTTTACTACAGGTTTCCTGGTTTCCTTCGTCTTCCCTGTAGTCTTGATAGCGATCTCCTCTGAGAAATCATCCTCTTAGCTTTGGCCTCGGGGCTGCAAACACATTCATTACCTGTCCCGTGCTCATGTTTTTGTTTGAAGGCTGACCTTTAGGTCCATTTTAAATTCAGTTTTTGGTGCTGAGGATAAAACCCAGAGACTTGCGCAACCTAAGCCTGTGCTCTATCTCTGAGCTACATCCCTGACCTACAAAGGTGTTAAAAATAAAAATTTAGGGCGGCGGTGGTGCACGCCTTAAGTCCCAGAACTTGGGAGGCAGAGCCAGCCGGATCTCTGTGAGTTCGAGGCCAGCCTGGTCTACAGCGCAAGTTCCAGGACAGGCATCAAAACTACACAGAGAAACCCTACCTCGAAAAAACAAACAAACAAACAAAAAAACAACAAAAAAATGTGATAATTAAAAAAAAAAAGTGCTGGGTGGTGGTGCACACCTCTAATCCCAGCACTCAAGAGGCAGAGCCAGGCAGATCTCTGTGCGTTCAAGGCCAGCCTGGTCTACAGAGTAAGTTTCAGGATAGGCTCCAAAGCTACACAGAGAAACCTTGTCTAAAAAAAAAAAAAAATCCCAGTAATGGAAAGTTGTAAAGATTTCCAAAAGCATTTTATTTTACTATTCATATTGGCAACGTAGCTCAGAGGTAGAGTGTGTGGATCTTTGGCTTCAATCTTAGACCACAAACAAAACAAAACAAACAAAAACAGGCTGGGTTGCTGGGCCGTGGTGGCACATGCCTTTAATCCCAGCACTCAGGAGGCAGAGGCAGGCAGATCTGTGAGTTCGAGACCAGCCTGGCCTACAGAGTGAGATCCAGGACAGGCTCCAAAGCTACACAGAGAAACCCTGTCTCCCAATCCCCCCCCCCAAAAATTCAATTCTTGGCTGGGTGTGGTGACACAGCTGGTGATCCAACCCTTGGGATGCAGAAGCGAGAGGGGTCATCGCAAGTTCGAGGCCAGCCTCCATATTACAAAGTGAGTTCCAGGCCAGTCGGGACTACATAATGAGACCTTGTCTGAAAACCACCAACTGGCAAGGCGGCTTGGTGGATAAAGGCACTTGCTGCCAATCTTGACAACCTGAGTTTGATTTCCCAGGCACACGGTGGAAGGAGAGAGCTGATTCCGCCAAGTTGTCCTCTGACTTCTGACGCATTTATCTAATTATTCTTTTTTTTTTTTTCCTTCTTTTCAAGACAGGGTTTCTCTGTGAAACAGTCAGGGCTATCCTGGAACTCCCTCTGTAGATCAGGCTGGTCTCAAACTCAGTCTCCCGAGTGCTGGAATTAAAGGTGTGCACCACCACCACACGGCTATCTAATTATTCTTTATCAATAAAATATGGGGTGTCAGATACCAGGGTAAGAACCTGCAAGACCAGAGAAGCAGCAGAGCCACCAGTGGCCTCCTATCTCTTACGTTTCTCTATCCAAAAATGACTGAGCTCTTCTCTAAGCCCCGCCTTACTACTTCCTGACTCCTATCTGTCCTGTCCTCCAAAACCTCTATGGTTAATTTTGGTCAGCTAGTGGCTAGCTCCGCCCTCTGACTCAAAGCAAACTTTATTGTCTGAATGCGATCAAAATGTCACATAACAGACTTCCACCCACACCCAAGAATTAAAAAAAAAAATGTAATTGAAAAAAAAAATTAAAATCAATTTGAATCAATCCAAACAAACAATCTGGACCCCTAGGCTGCCTTTTGTCCTAGGGTGTCGCTCAATATTCAGTCTGGTCTAACTTCCTTCCTAGTTTCTTGTGCTAAGAGTGTTTCCTTTCTTAGTCTGGGACTTCAATGGCTTTACACTGATCTTGGGGGATAACTCTCCACCTTCTCCTCTTGTCTCTGTTCTGGGCTTGGCTGGCTCTTGATAACGCTGCTCAGAGCAACACATTCACTAAGAGGTCAAGGCCAGCGTCATGTGTACTTAGAGTCCACTTCTTAGATAATGTCTGGGGCCAGTCTCTTGTTTAGTCGTCTGTGCTGGTTGCCATCAATTAAATTCATGGAAATTGTAGCCTAGAGTTCCTCATCACCAGTGTTGTGCAATAAGGATCAACTCAGCAGGTCTGGGCTATCCAAATCCTACGATTCCAAAGAGAGGTTTGGCCTTTGCAGTTCCTGGGAGAGGACTCCTCAGGCTTTGGTATACCCCGCCTGGTATCATCTCTGGAGCAAGGTCAGCTATGAGAGTAATTTCTTGCCTGTGTCACTGACCCCCAGTAAAAACTGGACTCTGGACTGAAGAGATGGTCCAGTGGGTAAAGGATGGCCACTACAAGCATGCACATACATACATAAATGTGAAAAAAAAAATCCGGACAGGAAGGGGAGGCAAGACAATCTGATAGATAGTAGCGTCTGAAAGGCCTATGCAAAGGATGCAAAATTAGCAAATGAGAGAAACGTATCAGCCAAGAGGAAGGCTGGACCCCCACACATACCCAGGCGTTACTAAATCTAGCCACTTGTGCAGGTACAGAGGCACTTCAGAGTGTCCCAAGGGGATTGACGGCACATTACATTACTAAAACTCAGAGCTCTGGGTAGAGATTTTAGATGCTAGTGAAGCATGCAATACTCATGTAAGTTGCATGTAGAATTACATGTAACAGGCCATGTGCCTTTAGAAGTGTATCCTTGCCGGGTGGTGGTGGCGCACGCCTTTAATCCCAGCACTCGGGAGGCAGAGCCAGGCGGATCTCTGTGAGTTCGAGGCCAGCCTGGGCTACCAAGTGAGTTCCAGGAAAGGCGCAAAACTACACAGAGAAACCCTGTCTCGAAAAACCAAAAAAAAAAAAAAAAAAGAAGTGTATCCTTAATAGATTCCTGTGGCAAATGTATTATGATAAAAAATATCTCTCACGGTCTAAGAGACTGGAACTTTTCCAGGAGCTCACATCCAGAGTTAGTAATACTTCCTGAAGTTACTTTCACCCACCCTGAAGGCACCTTGGCTCTATCCGCCAAAGCCTCCGGAGCCCTGTACCATAGCACACAGACATACAGAGCTTTACCTGCTAACTATCTTACCAGCCCCTCAAGGGACTTTCCCCAATGAGCGGTTTTATTTCACACAAGATGCCGATGCTGACATAAACTGTTGGGGAAAAGATCAGCGGAGCTCAGGAAGACAGGGGGACTTTCTGTGTTAGGACAGCTGTCCCATCAGGACAGCACACTTCAAGGTCATCTTCAGTAAGGTCAAGGCCAGCAAGAAGTAAATGAGAGCCTCTGCACTCCGGGGCCTCTGGTGTGGACCACATTAGAAATTCTTGAGATGTATATCTCAGGGTAGTGCACTTTTCTTTTTTTCTCTGAGACAGGGTCTTATGGAGCCCTGGCTTGCCTCCAACTCCTTATGGCTGAGGGTGATCTTAACTTTCTGATCCTTCTGTCAGCAGGAGAGTTTTTTGATTAAAAAAAAAAATCCATTCTATAATAGTATTAGAGGGTTGGATGCAGGTCGGATGCAGAGAGTACAT